AAAATGAAAACAAAAAAGAAAAAAAAAAAAAAAAAAAAAAAGAGGAAGAGGAGGAGGAAGAGGAAAAGAAAAGGAGGAGGAAGAAGAGGAAGAGGAGGAAGGATTTCACAGAGTCCTATATGAGACTGGGATAAGAGGAGAGCACTCAATTTAAACCCTCTTTAAGATAAGAGGGATATGTTGATAGTGGCACAGTTTCTAACAGCTAAATCTTGGAAACAGATCATCAAATGGTGACCGAATAATGAAGATGTGGTTCTTTTTATAAAACAGAGTACTACTCAGCCATACAGAATGATAAAATGGAGACATTTATCCCTAGAGGGATGCACATTGAGGCCATACTCTTAAGTGGAATAAATAAGGCAGGCGTGTAAATACCAAATAGTTTTTCTGGTGTGAGAAACTGAAAGTGTAAGTGAGGACCAAAATATATAACAGAAAATGTAAAATAGGAAGAAAAGGTCCAAAAGGGAAGGGGAAGTAGGGAGGGGAGGTTGGGGGAAGGAAAATATGAGAAAAGAAAGAAAAAGCGGAAACATAAGTTTTTGTCAATAGGGAAGAAAGGAGGGAAAGGAATGGGGAATGGGGAAAAAACAAGAACCCCACAGTCTCACACGTGATGCCTCCAGTGACCCAGGGACCTCCCTCGCCATTTAGTCTACCTCCTGTAGGTTCCACAGCCTCCCAGTGGCGCCCCGCTGACCAATGTAAACCACAGCAGAAGGTCGGCCTGCTAAGCATGGATGGGGCAACCATTCAAAGTATCCGTGGTATCTTAATTGGAGCAAGGGGAAGTCTCCAACATGAAGGCTACACACCCCACATGGTGAAGAGGGAACATCGTCACTTTCCAGCAGGGCTCACATTTCAGTGCTTTGTGACTATAAAGTCCTAAACCAGAGTTAATGAAAAGAAAAAGGGAAATCAGTGTATCTAATAAAATCAACTATATTTCAATTTAAGTGACAGGACAAATGAAATCAGAGGGCATTCTTTCACCTGAGATGGCCTGAAGCATTTTGATTCCTCTGGTACAGGAGTGGGTGACACAAGTGTGGGAGCTGAATGTCTATTCATTTCACCCATCTACCTTCCTATCTACCGTGGATCAATGGCCAGAAAACCCAGAGCTGAGCTAAGGCTGGACTAGACTAACAAGATAAGGAATAAGTCACACGCCTTCTTGGGGAATGTTTCCAACGCAGCACAACTGTGCTCAACAGCTCCACACTTCGCCCTGTGTTTGCAATAAGAAAGAGGATTCTTGCAAGGGTCACAGTATTTCTGCCTCCTGCAAACACATTTTCCTTGTTTCAGTGTTTGTATGGGATGCTTATCTGCCTCATTCCCTGTCGAGCCATCAGCCTAGTGCCTGGAAGCATGTCTAAACCTGTGACCTCATGTATCACTGCACTGCCTGCGATGCTCAATAAATCACTACCCAGTAGCAGCAAATCAATCCTGCTCCAAGGAAGAAGATACAAATCACAATCAGTAGCAACTTTCTGTACCCTCAAAACAATTTTGCAAGTAGGAAACATCGAAGTTCCTCCCGATTCTGTCCTAATTAGATCTTTTCTCAAGTACCAGCTCTAGCTTTGGACTCCATGTGTCAAGATGCAAGTGAGAAGTTCCAGAAAAGATATGTAAGACAATCTGAAGACTGGAACCTAGTAAATACCAAGAAAAGGTAAAATCTATTTAACCTGGAGGTACATGGTTTATTCTCAATGACCACAGAATATCAGGTCACAGTGGGCTGAAACACCTACCTGCCTATTGTCCAATTTTGTCCAAAACCTTGAGAGAAAACCATGCTACGGAGGAGGGTGTGTAGAACACATAAACCAAACAATTCTCTAGATCCACTGAGGTTTTTTTCCACAGATCAGAAAATCCAGTCACCCCGGGAAATACCTGGGCTAAACTTTACACTCTGAGTTGTGCCTTAGGCCACTCAGGGGAAGTTATGATGACAGCACCGGGGTGCTCACTCCTGACCCACCAAAGGCAGGCCACTGGGCACACATCACTTGAGGGTTTACACCCAAGCGCGGTGTTCGACATTAAGGCCAACTTACCTGTTCCCTACCTAAGTGAACTGCTTCCCGCTTCCTTCTTTTCAGTTATATAAGTCAGTGTCGGGTTTATAGTCAAATTTGGGTAGCAGTCACCTCTTCCAGGTCTCTTCTCAAAAGTCGCTGAACTTCCTGACAATCCTTTATCAAACAGCACCAGCCCACAGTCCTCAGCCCTATTTCCCTTTTTTGTTTTACTTTTCCTCCCCCGTACTTACTTGACCACCATCTTGATCACCAACCTTTACATCATACTGGTTTATTCATGTTTTACCCTTTCCAGAGCGACCACCATGAATGCAGGCACTGGTTCCCTCTTGGAACCCAGCAACCTAACCCTGCTGGACAATAGTAGGTGCTGTACTCAATAAACACCTGGTGAATGAGCCACTGAAAGGACAGATAACTGTGAAACTCTAAGTCTTTACTACAACTTTCTTCATAAATTTGGACTTTGATTCTGAATTATGCATCTCCCTGGCTTCAATGTATTTTCACATTTTGTTTTCTGTGTTTAAAGTACTTGTGTAAGCCAGCTGAAATCTTTCACAAAGTGAAGTAAGTGGGAGATAGTAGATAGAGAAACAGGTATAAACAGACACAAAAGATGCTCTAACTATCAAACACACTGCACTTTAACAGATGGTAACATCCTTGTTGAAGACAAAATGAGACAAACAGGGCAACTCTTCATTCAGTACAGTGACCTTTCTTTAAAACTGATCACTTTCCTAGTATCCTGTGTAGGATCTGAAGAGGTGATATTTATTCCATGGGGAAATACTCCCAGACTCTGGCTGTGCCCAGGTTCTGCCAGTCTTTTTTTAGTGGGATCTCAGGATAAAAGGGCCACTTTCCACCACAGATGTGCCCAACAGAGTCCACATCATGCTCATTTTCATTCTGAGATTCTTCGAAAGGAGATGAATGAAAAGTTTCCAGGGTGTTTGCTAAATAGGCTATACCTCTTCCCCAAAACGCATCCTGCTACACAGAGCTACCAAAAGTGAAATTCCATGATGATCTAAGGTAGAAGAAAATGCAGGAGAATGACCAATTTCACTGCAAATCTGCTGTAGGCCAAGTCCTGGAAACACAGGGGAGGGCAGGGGGGTGCACAGAGGCAGGAGGGGACATGTTGGAGCAGAGGGAACTTACCTGCTTTACCACAGTCACTGTCCCAGGTGCCATGGCAACGACTGAGGCTACAGCCGTGGCATCATGAGTCTCGGTGCCCAGCTCGATGATCTGCTGTAGTATGTTCACAGCCGTGGGGTCGAGGCGGTCACCTTAGGAGGAAGAAGCAAACCAGGGACCATCAAGGCCACTGGTGGGCTGAGGAGCAGCCCATGCAAATCCAGCCTGGCTTCCCTTGGGTGACGCCTTTCCTGGAGGACACATGGGTTCGCAGGAACCACTCATTCAGACAAGAGAAACAATTTGTATGTTCCTTTAAGGGTTAACAAGCATTTCTGTAAGAACCTCTCAAAACCCCAAGCAACTTGTAGAGATGGCACTGTGATATTATCCTCATCACTGATTTGTCAGTTGGGCACTAAAAAAAAGCAAAAGAGACTTGCCTCGGGGCAGCTGAGGTAATGGTGTGACAAAGCCAGGATGTTCTGAGTCCTAGCTTTGAAGACCCAGACTGTCCTTCACTACTGAGGGTACCAGCTGACAAGGTCATATGCAGAGCTGATTTCCCCTGAGTACCCGGGAGGCGGCCACAGAAAGTGTGCCAAGTAAATTACAGAGGAGATGGGCAAAACCTCCAAAGGTGTCTCAGCCAAGGGGCTTGCAAACTCCACACCAGTTTAAGCTAGGGCTTCTGTTTTAATTAATGGTAAGTGCAGGTTAATTTGTCTATTTTTCTTTATATTTGGTATTTTCATTATTATTTTGTATTATATTACAGTATTGTCATCATTTCTATATATTTTGGGTTTGTGGAATGAACCATCTGAGTTTCCATTATTTCTTATGAGGAAATTCGCTTAGATATATACAAGTGCTTTGGACCATAATCATGCTTCTAGAATGAATTATGCTCATGAATTTAACTTGCAGCTAAGCAATCCCAGCATCGAAAGACTAAAATATTTACCTGTAAAATGTACTGAGGTTAGGTGTCAATTCCTCACCCACTCACTCCCTCAATGGCCATTTATCAATCCATAAGAGTCAGCAGGAACTGTGGTTCCCACAGCCAAAACCTAATACAACCCTGCACCTCTGTTCCTTCCCAGCCCCACTGGCTCCTGGGACGCACCTATAGACAAATCATTACACTACCCATAGCCACGTAGATTCCATATCAGCAGGACAATTGGGTAGCAGTGTAGGAAGGTCAAGTGGGTCCCCAGTGGGTGACACACACAACCCTAGTGTTGGAGGTGGGCAAGATGGGTAGAGAAAATGATGTGGGGAGGAAGGGGCCAAACCCTCACACCAGACACCACTGGAGCACCCAGGTGAGAAATGCAGCCAGTGCTGACAACCACAGCCCAGGGCGGGAAGCAAGAGACAGGGCAGCTCAGGCAGCTAGGAGCCAGAGGAGGAGGGCCTGGCGTAATGAGCTGCATGAAAAGTTTGAAATGTATTTGCAGGGCTTGGAAGACACTGAAGGCCTTTAGAAGCCATGTATGTACATGGGAATGAGTGTGTGCGTGTGTGCACATGTGCTGCGTCTGTTGGGGATGAAGACAGGCAGGCTGTGTTTTGCAAGTCTTGAGCAATCACTGAACACAGAGGAAGGAAACACACATTGAAGCAGGGTTTTAGGATAGGGGCTGCTCTGAACAGCTCAGGGTCTCTGAATTCCCTCTAGCTGAGTGGGCAGAGGGTCCAGCCCTGCCCATTAATCTCCTTAAACAGAGTGGCCTGTAGGAGCTGGGGTTCAGCTTTCTTACAACCAAGCATTGGGGGATTTAAGAATTGGGTGGAAACAGTGTTTTCCTCACTCCTGTATCCTACAGCATTCGACCATCAAATCCTGTGCTCTTAATCCCACTTGCTTAATCTCTTCCCCCAAATATATATGGAGCTGCAGAATGTAAGATTGACTTGCATTCACAAGGCATCAGAAAATGCTGTTTCCAAGCACAATGCCCGACTGCTGCTAGACTAGCACAGAGTTTGGTTTTGAATTTATCTGAAATTTAAGAATCATCAGATTTGATGTAAAAATCCTGGCTGGGCTTTTTGGGGAGACTGCAGGGTGGGATCAGTAGCCCTGCACTGCAAGTGCTCTGCAAGGAGACTCAGAGCACAGCACAGCTTCAGCCTCCACTGCCACCCACAGATACTGCCTGGCTGGACCCCACGGACCCTGGGTTGAGCCCTGGAACGGAGAACCACAAGGAAGCAAGGAACAGGGACTGCACCCTGAGAAATCTGGAGAGCCAGGCTCTAGGACAGCTCCACCACCAAGAGTGGGCATGGTGCCCCACCACCACCACTATCAGCAACGCAAGTCACCTGCACAGCTGTGCAGAGTGAACAGTGAGATCCACTCCTCTCTCAGGCTGTTGTGGAATGACATGTGTCATGACATGGGAAAATCTGACAATCCTGTCACAAGGCACACCTCTTGGATCATTTCCAGAGACAGAGATCCTGGTACCTGATAGCAGGACTGCTTCTTACACTACAAAGGCCAGGTCAGAGGCTTTGGTGCAGACCAAGTGACGAGCATCATTCACTCACACATTCATTCATGCAGCATGTAAAAGCCAGCTCTGAGATGTCAAAGACAGGAGTGTCCTCACCGCTCTCAGAGGTGTATCGCAGGTCCTGGAGGGCAGCCACAGCTGCCTGCGTTCCCTGAACGTCTTCTTCAGCCTCTGTGATGTGAAGATACTGCGTCGAAGGCTCCTCAGGAGTTTCTGCTGCTGGCTAAATACAACCACAGTGCCTAAGTGGCCATCTAAAACGTCAACAGTTACCCAGAAGTTCCAGGATAATGTATGGAGACAAAGAAACAGAAGAAAGGAACCATTTACAGTACCTCATTTCCCTGCCACCCCCTCCCAAGAAATTGGCTGCCCATAAATAGACTCCCAAAAGAGAAACCATTTGTTTGCAAGAACCAAGGCTTTGTAAAATCAGTTTTCGTGATACCCATGCTTGCAGCAGGGAGCAGGATATGTTGTTCATGATCAGAGATTTGCAATCTCAGATATTCTATATATGTACTTTTAAAGGTTTCTGTCTCCTCCCACTGCTACCAACACTGCTTCTTACACTGGAGACTTGTGCCATGTGGCCAACAGAGGCCATGGAGCAGCTGATGGAAGAAAAGAGGAGAGGAGAGAGAGAGAGGAAGGGTATTATATAGCATGTAAAAGCACAGTCCTGGCACAGATCGTAGCCATTCATGCCGTTCTTATTTTTATATGAAGGATACAATAAACAGAAATGATTATAAGACACAAACTATCAGAACTGGTGAGTGTAGAAGTTGAAGTGATATTCATAGGTTCCTTGTATCTAGAGAAGCAGTGGGTGAGAATTTTCACAGAATGTGATATTAATAATGGTCTCTTTCTATTAGGGCTGGGAAATACGAGCAAAACATGAATATCATCAATAAAGAAGAAGAAAGAGAAGGACTTCAAAGTTCATAGGAGCCATGGTAGGCACTCATCAGTAGCTGACACTGAGGTTCACAGTAGCATGTAATTGTCCTTTTACAGCTAACTGAGCAATTTCATTGAGATGTTTCCAGCTTGACATATAGTAGACACTCAATAAATATTTGATAAATGCAGAAATTAACAAAAAGAAGAGGTGACACTTCTACTTTTAAGTACCATGAGTAACATAATTAGCCAGCAGTGGACCCAAGCTATGTCCTTGCCCACAAAAGGTCAGGACATACCCCAAATATCACAGCTCCTCTCATTCTGGGGAAGCTGTGTGATGATCACTTTCAGGAAGGCCAGCTCTCCATGCAAGGCATTCCCAGGAGCCAGGTGACAGCCCAAACTCCTCCTACCTCCTCAACTTTCCATGCCGCTGTGAGAAACGCTTTTACTAAGGAGATCTCACCTAAAGCTCTTTCTTCGGCCTTAGAGTATTCAGCAAAAATACTATTTTCCACTGTTACCTAGTCAGCTCCTTTCTTCCCACCATTTTCAGGGTGGCCACATCATTCATCTGTGACACAAATTGATTCATTTGCCATGTAAACCCCCCCACCCTTTTGGGAGTACTAGGAATTGAACCCAGGTCCTCCATCCTAAGCTGCAAGCACCACCTTTTTTAACTTTATTTTTTAAATTAACCCACTAAGTTGCACAGGCCCAGTTTGAACTTGCTACCCTGCTGCCTCAATCTCTTGGAGTGCAAGGCTTACTGGTGTGAGCCAACCACTCCTGGGCTACACTGTAAAAAATACGAGCGAAACTGCCTTGCCATCGTTCAGGGCACTTTCTCATGTAACAGTCCACACTGGAGACACTCCATGGAACCTGCCAGGGCACCTCTCTTCCATCTCACAGCTGCATGGCTCTCAGTCACTGACTGACAGACACTGCATTTACAGCCATGTGCTGGAATGTATAGCTTTTCACAGACACTTTTTCTCATTTTGACAGTACAATGCTGACATAGTTCCCTACCAGTAGGATAGTCTGGGTAGAAGACACAGAAACACCTATGTAATTTTGTTACATACTGCTATCCCCTGCCAAGGAGTGGAGCGTATTTCCTCACAGCTTCTCTGACAGGGATGATGTTAAACTTTTGGATTCCTATCAATCTAACAAGTGAGAAATTCTATCTCAGTCTAATTTTTTTTATTTTGTTTGTTTGGTTTGGTTTTTGTTTGTGGGGGGACCTTGCCCTTGTGAGGCAGGCGGTGGAACCACTAAGCTAAATCCCTGGCTCAGTCTAGTTTTAATTAACACTTTATTATGTGTGGAACTGATCATGTTCTCAGATGTTCAAGGTTATTTGCATTTTTTCCATGAATCATTCTTACTTCTTGCCCATTTTTCAATTGGGTTGTTGATTCTTTTTAATCATTGTATTTGGAAGACAAGAAAATTATATTCATTTTCTATGATACTACTGAAAATTTTTTTATCTTTTACCTTTTGGTTTATGAGTTCTTTTCTAGAAGACATTTTAGTATTTTATGCAGTTCATTTTTTTCAGTTTTTCTATTGTTGAATCTAGATTTTGAAAATTAACAAAGTTTTTCATGTTCATTTCATAGGTGAATTCACTCATGATTTCATCTACCATTTGTAAAACATCATTATTTTTCCATTTAAGTCTCCGATCCTTTGGAAATTTATTTTAAGTTCTGAGAAGCAGATCCAACTTTATCTTTTCATTTGTGGCTATTAAGCTACTCTACATGGTTCCCTAAAAAAGCCCATGTTTCTCCTAGCAATATGAATTGCCATCTTTAAATTATGCTAAATGTCAATGTCACTGGGCTTTCTTTGAATTTTCTATTCTGTTTCATTAGACCTCTTTGGGTACAAATACTACAATGTCCTAGTTATAGAGACTTCATAACATGTTTTATATCTGTTAGCATTCTCCTAGAAGTTTTCCAAGGTGTCGCTAAATATTCCTAATTATTCTGCCAAATTAACTTCAGAAATCAAGGTGATTAGCTCCAGGAAAAAAAAATCTAATGATATTTTCATTATATTTATACATTATCTTATGAATTACTTCCAAGAATATTAACATCTTTTTTATTCATGAGGGATGCCTGTCCATTTGTTCCACTCCAAGTTTATGTCTCTAAGGAGTGCTTTATGGCTCTCTGTGTTTATATCTTCTTGTTAGAATTATGCCAATTTCTATGTTTCTGTGTTTCCTGTAATAAATGGTTCTTTGCTTCCCTTCTGTCTGCCTGATTTTATATATGTACATATGTGTGTATACAAGCACATAAACACATATATGCACATACAGATTTATGTGTATACATGTGTGAATATATGCTATTAATTATTGTCATTGATCTTTTCATGTGCTGCTTATCATCTATGGTAGTTTTTCACTCATTCTTTCAGATTTCTCAAAAATATAATCTCATCATATGCAAACAGAAATACTTTTATTTCTTCCCTTGGGGCTCTGGCTCTGTTTGCTTTGCTTTTGTAACCGCAATGGCTGATGGCTCCATAGTGTTAATGACTAGGGTTGCTGGACACTCCTGTCTTGTTTCTGACTTCAGAGGAAACCCTCCAGCAGTGTTCCTCAATGAAGTAAGACACTTGCTTTGGGGCTGAGACTTATATTTTTATCATCCTTAGGATGCTAAAGTTCTTACTTTATCATCTGTTTTTAATCAGCGAATATTGAATTTTGTCAAATGCCTTTTCTATACCTATGAAGAGGATAGTTTCATTTTTCTCCCTAGTTCTATTATCATGATGGATTATATTAACATGTTCCCTCCCACTGAATCACTCTTCTTTGTCATTTCAGAATCCCACATTACTTTCATGTGCTATGGATTTTGTTTCAAAGCCCTTACTCTTAATCAATGAATGCTCTGTAAAGTCCTCACATTGACTGGGGCTGATCCTGACTGCAACAGAACAATGAACACCGGCAATGTCCAGTGTTTACCTTAATGGTGGCCAGCGGGAAAGAGGCTGATACTACTGGCAGCAAGTAGAAAGTAGCCAGAAATGTAGCCAAACACTTTATGTGTCACAGTATAGCCCTCCACACCAAAGAATCATCCAGATCCAAAGGTAAACAGTGCCGAGTCTGAGAAGCTATGTCTTAAGGAACTGCCATTAGCTCATGGTATTTGAAAAGAGCAATGACTACTGGCTCTAACTGGTGCCGACTACTTTAGAGAAAAGCAAAGATGGCAGGTAGGAGCACAGGCCTTCAACTGAGGCAGAGTAGGGCTGAGGATTTAGCTCAGTGGTTCTGCTGCCTGCCTTGCAAGCACAAGGTCCTGAGTTCAAAGTACAAAAAAAAAAAAAAAATCAGAGGCAAGGTAGCAACTGGAACTAGTAAATGAGGCCCTTTCCAGTTTTCACAGTGAACATGACAATGGACTCCCTGCCTTCTAGTCTTATTTCAGATACAACATCTAATACTCTAGATTTGTGAACATGAGAAGTATAAAGGTCAATGAGGTCAATGCAAACATTTAAAGCAGAGTCGATGGTCCTATGCTTATTCAGAATAAGAATCCACATGCACAGTCCACATCCCACCCAATTATATCCAAAGATGCGATCTGAAAAGGTCTCAGAAATTTCCCAGGCACCAGATCCAATGCTCTGAAGTCTGACTGTCCATGCTCAGCACTTGGGCTGGATGGCACCTGTGTTTAGAAATGTCAAGGTCAATACTGTACTTTTGGAAGTTACCTCCCACTTGGGGTCTCCATCAATTTCCACCACCTTCAAGCCATGCTTGTTCTTCAAGTGTCTGTTGAACTCCCATTTGGTGCCATACACAAAGCTGCAGACAGGACACTTCAAACCACCTGTAAGCACGGACAGGAAAAAGACGTGTTCAAAGCACATACAAATTCCACATTTCTTCCTTGCCGAATACCTTGAATCTAAGAAAAGTAATGTTTTATCTGTAGTACATAGTGTACTTTCAGACTTTCCTCAGTACTGGAATACAACAGCAACAGTGTACATATCTTTCAGAGAGAGAAAGAGAAACAGAGAGAGAGAGAGAGAGAGAGAGATCAAAATTTAATAAACTTTCCTCACTTATCGAATAAGCATTTGCAAAGAGCCTAACACATGCTTGATATTTTAAACTCCAGGAAGAAATGGAATAAGTAACATAATTTCCTTGGCTGAGCAAGTAAGTGGCTAAAATCACTCTCATGTTTTTTATTTGTAAGTAACAAACAATTTAGAAAAAAAAACACAAGGGTCATGGCTGCTTTTCTCAATTTTCTTTGCCCAAACTACTTAAGAACAGGAGCCAGATTCTCAGTCTCCTTCACAACAGAAGCTAGGTCACTGGTACAAATTCCCATGTGACTCTCCCAGTACAGAACAAATTTAAAAACTGGTCACATCCTGAAATGTCACTAGTTATTGAACTGATTAAATTTCGCACATGTTCCCGGAAGTGTTTGGTACTTTAATTAGGAGAATGTGAAACTGAAGGTAAAACAAAAGAACAACAACAAAAAAAACTAAAGAGACACACAAAAGACTATCCTTTCTGAAATTACAGCAGAAGCAGCAGCTCAGCTGGAGACTGGACAAACATCTCTGAATGAGTCACACCTCACTGCGGTAATAGCATGAGACCCCCACTCTCCTGAGCAGGGTCAGGCCTGTTGCCAGAGCCACTGGGCCTCCCTGGGACCTTCTGCAAAGTGCCACTGCTCCGTTGTGTAGAGCATGGAGCCCATCCAGGTCCAGCAGCTCAGCCCTCCAGTGGCAAGGTCCTGGGCCTCTCCCTGCTCCCACAAGGAACCCTATTGAGCTGCTTTCTCGACTAGAGCCCAGTCGCTTCTCCTCTGCACTGCCCTCCTTTCACTACAACCTGGGATCGCAGAACGCTTGGGTAACAAAACTCCCAATATGAACCACACCAAGAAAAGCTTTCTCCTTCCTCTCCATCTTTACATTCTCTACAAGGTCCCCTCGGTGGGGGGTGCTCACATTCAGAAGCCCACGTGAGAGAGGCCAGGCCAGGGAGGCCACGGGAGGACCATTGCAATAGGATTCCAGGTTTATTCCTCTTCCACAGCACTGTGTCTATACCTCTGGAACATTGCCACTGGGGCCCGCTTCACTTAAGGTCTGTAAATAGTCATGACTTTAGTACCCAGCCCTCATAGCTCTTTGACCTCTTCTACTCTAAGCACCCTACCTACCAATTTGTTATTTTTGCAAACTCATGCAATCATACACATAAGTGCAGAGTGCCATGCCTAGGGCTAAATCCAAGCATCCCAGTAAAATGCCTACAGCCCTCCCATTCTGTCACACTACCGTCCTTCTTTGCCTTTTGCAGGAGCTCTACCACCTCTTCTCTCTGTGGCTCCTCTCCAAAGAGCCTACACTTGCACTGGTGGAGTCCTCATTCTCCACAACTTCTCTGTCAAATCCAGAGATAAAGCCACTGCCTAGAATCCCCAATTACTGGTCTTCCCTGCTCTGATCAAAGGGTGCTGAGGCAAATAACACAAAATTATTGTTTTTACTGTCAAGATTCCAACTTGAAGGGTTTCTTCCTACACCAAAGTAGTCTTCACCTCTTACTTCAAAATGAGAGCATCAGGCAAGGCCTTTTGAAGCTGTCCACTACAGAGCCCAAATATGCAAATATGCATGAAGATTGGATTTCCTCCCCTCCAGGGATTACCCCTGTGCCCCATATAACATAGACACAACCCTGTCAGACTGGATGTCCTTTCCAGAATGAACAGCTGAGGTCTCCTTCATCATTCTGAAGTGAAAGCTGCAGGCAATGTAACCACTAAACATTATCCAAGAAATATGCAAATATGAAAGTGAAAGGGGATGTGCTGGACACCAAACTGTAGTCAACCTATATTGTACAAACCATGAATGTGGAGACACAACTGCAGAGATTTTTACAAAGCTCCTTGAGTATCCAAGCTCTCTGGGCACTCATCACACTCCACTGAGCATCCTGCTTCTCAGGCCTCTGGGACAGGCCTCTCTGACCCAGCTTCCCTCTCCTACAGCTGGCCCTCCTGCTCGCTCCTTCTCTGACTCCTGTGCACAGCCCAGTCCCTGGACTGCAGGCGGGGTGCCCTCAACTTCTCCAGGCTCCTCCTCCCACCCACTCCACACGGGGGCATGCCCAGACCTGCTGCCTCCTGGGGCTCACTGCCCTTCACAGATGACTCATAAACTGGTGATGGTCCCACCTGCAGCTCCAGCTCAAATTTCTGCCCCAAACTCCAGGCTCAAAGGTTTCTTAGCAGGCACCTCATCTTCATGAGGCCCAAAGAGATCCATGTGGTCCCAGTACCTCCACAGCCCTCCCAGTCCCGGACACTGTGGCCTTCTGCACAGATGGGAGCCACCAGCTCCTGCCTAACTGATTGCCTGGTAGCCCTGCTCTCCACTGTTTGCCTTCTCAAAAGAAGCACAGAATGTGCTTTCGAAACAAACTAAATCACATATCACACACATGTAAAAAGCTGTTATGGTTCTCTGTCACACCAGAATAAACTTCTGGCACTCAAATAGCCTGACAAGCCCTACAACCTTGTCTGTGCTGCACTGTGACACTGAGCAGATCCCTTCTCTGTAGAGGTCTCCTTTCTTGGATTTCCAGGCCACACAGCGCCTTCCCTTCTCAAGATGCCTGCCATGACTCCAATTTTGAAAGCTACAACAATTAATCTTGACTGTCACATCGAATGGCTTGAGAGACACCCAGGAGATCAGCAGAACTCACTTCTGGTTGGGTCTGAGTGGGTCATGCGGCACGAGCCTGGGGACTATATCTGGTCCCATCCCCTCCCCTCTGGTTCTCTTGATATCTCTGCTTCTGCCCTCCCTGAAGTGAGCATCTTTTTTCTGCCTCACTTTCCACCATGATCTTTCTGCCTTGGAGGAAGACAACCACGGGCTGAAATTATGAGCTAAAAGAAATCCTTTCTCCTTCAAATTGTGTATGTCAGGTATTTTTTTATTAGTACATGTTTACAACACATGCAGTTTACAATCTTGGAGAGTAGGTACAAGTACACAATACAGCTTGATTCTTTGTTTTAATACCCCCCTTCCCTCCTGCTTATCTCCCTCCTCTAAATCCCCTTCTCCATTTCATCCTCATTGATATTATAAAGTATTTTGTCCTAATGATTCAAAGCTAATAAAGAAGTTCTCCCTTCAAGATATCATTTGATCTTTACTTCTACAAACCATCTTTCTGATTTCCCGCACTGGCTCCCCATCCTGTCTCTGGAGCCCTGAAACCTCACCAACACTCACACCCTTCTACATCCCTGCTGTACATGTCACACACATGATGTGCAACAATGTTCTATTTCTACAAAGCCTCTATGACCTAAACAAATTAGAGATGTTTATATTTAGGCAGTGAAATAGCTGAGCTGAACGCTGAGTGTATGCTGAGCTGTCATATTTATTTATTGCTCACTCCAGTCTATTATGGCTCATATCTGGATGTTCCCCCAAAATCTCCTGGGCTCATATGTGTGGCTTTTGAGTGGATCATGGGTGTGTAATACTGGATTACTCCACTGATGTGTTTAGAGCTGGCTGTGATCCTGGAAGGTGAAGCTGTTGAGTCACTGTGGGGCACGGTCCAGAAGGGTATATAAATGTGTCCCTCTTCCTCCCTTGATGGCTCTGCTTCCTGCCTGCTACGCCATGAACTGTTTCTCTTCTGTCGTGACCGTCTGTAATTCTTTCCTGCCTTGGAGCCAGGTAACTATGGACAGAAACCTTTATAAACTCTTGAGTCAAAATAAACCTGTCCTCCCTTAACTTGTGTGTGTTAAACATTTTGTCCCAGCCATGAGAAAGTAACTAAGACAGAGCACGAAGGAAGTAGAAGGATTCTGTCCTGATAGTGAAGCTGTCTGGACAACTCATGAAAGACCCAGACGATGTCATGGCGATACATCACACAGTTCAGTCATTTTCCAGATGCAGTTATGATGTACTACATCTACTGAACCAATTCCATGTCGGTGGACTCTAAACAGAGAACTGTTCTAGAATTGGGGTTTCTACAGAAAAGGAAGCTCAAATGGATACTTATTTTCTGAAACTCAAACACACTGGGTTCTTCTTTTAGATAAAATCAAACAGACTTGTTCTTCATTGACCAGAGGATAATTAAACTTAGTTTTTAACCTCCACTGTTATCACTTAATAATCAACTAAAATGATGACTTCTCCCCTGTCCATCTTTGAAAACTTCCAAGGTGTGAGAATTTCTACCTTTTCCTTTGGCTGAAATAACCTGCTTCTCCTTGAAAGACTTACTAAGCAACAATGACCAAAACTCAACAACCTAAGGTTAAACACAGGCTTCAAATCAAAATTAAAAATTCCTTCTGGGGTACTCTTTCATGAAAACCAATTTCAGGAGAAAAACATTTTTATATTATGTTTAAATTAAACTTAATATGATAATGCCCTCACATTAATTAAAACTTCAACCTTTGCTATCGCAACTTTAATTAAAGAACAACAAATGGAATTTGTTCATCTAGACTGAATGTCTAAACTATGCTAGTTAATTGACATTAAAGCTGACAGAAATTAATTTCTCTTTCAATTCATTACATTCTTACAACACACAGTAAAGGTCAACAGCAGACTTGGTGAATTTACTCACAGCATTGGTATTAAGTGCACCACAAAAGCTGAACCCCAAACCACATTCTCCTCACACAGACTGATTAACCAGGCAGAAGCACAGAAATTCAGGAGTAATTTAAAAAACTAATCATGACCTCCTTTGCTCTTTGTGGAATGCAATACATTCTAGAGAAGT